GCCACAGAAGAAGCACGGACACTGTTGTGCTGGCTGGGAATTCGAACACTCATGTTGGAATATTATCCACTGATGAGCTGCATCTGGGCGGCCAACATGGTGTAGGCTCCCGTAATGATAACGGTGAGCGTTTACTTAATTTTTGTGAAGATGCTCGCTTATTTCTTGCGAGCACTAACTTCCGACACAGCACCCGCTGGGAGGTCACTTGGTGCCCACCAGCCTCGAACCAGCCTTGGACGCAAATCGATCACATTGCGATTAGTTACCGCTGGAGAGGCTGCATCCAGAATTGTCGCTCGATTTGGAGTACATGTGTGGACACCGACCATGCACTTGTATGTGCTGACATGCGGATGCGTTTTGGCGGACGCCCACGACGACGCTGTGAGCGCATTGACACCAGCCAACTGACAAAGCTAGCTGTTCTGAATGCGTATCGAAGTACGCTGACATGCGAGTTAAGTAATCGCTCACTGGAGACAATTGATGGTCACTGTTCACATGTTCGCCAGACCTTACTAGCAGAAGGCAAATCCTCATGTGGTGTCTAATAGCCAACATGGACATTGGGTCTCTTCTCGGTATTTGGAACTTATCGACGCTCGCCGGCATATCCCGGCTGGAAGCGAACACAATGAAACTCGCAAAGAGCTTCTGGCAAAACACCGCGCTATCCTGAAGACAGACCGCGAATCTTGGTGGTCTCATCGTGCGTCAGATATGGAAGTGGCCGCTGCCCTTGGCAACCATGGTAACTTATTCCAGCTGACACCGTAAACGGGTAGCAAAAGACCTGGTGTTAGTGAAACAATTTGTGATGAGAGTGTCAGCCTATCCACAATTTGTCAAAACGTTTGGAGCGTTGGGCTGAGTATTATGAAAAGCAATTTAATCGGCTAGAATGGTTCGATTCGCCGGTCACTGATCGCCCGGCTCCGTGGGCTGTCCCTTTGGATCCACCCTCTCGCTCAGAAGTCGAACGTGAGATCGGACTGTTGAAGTTGAACAAAGCCGCGGGACCAGATGATCTTCCTCCAGCCCTCTTCAAATTCGGAGCCTCTGCTCTTGTTGATGCTTTACATGAATTACTAGTGAAACTGTAGGGGCAGGAGACTGTCCCAACCGACTGGAGCCGCTCCGTTATTGTTCCCATCTTCAAAGGCGGCTCGCGCTCGGAATGCGGCAACCATAGGGGAATCAGTGTGATCTCCATCGCCTCCAAAATTCTTCACAGACTGACTGGCGCTAGTGAAAGTCGGATACGTGAAGAGGAAGCCGGGTTTCGTCGTGGTCGTGGCTGCACCGACATCTTCACCTTGCGTCAGTTGTTGGAGCACCGTCACACATATCGGCGGCCCACCGTAGTCGTGTTCCTCGACATCAAAGGTGCCTTCGATTCAGTGAATAGGCGTGCACGTTGGAGTTGTTTACTCAGGAAAGGTGTGCCCGAGAAATATGTAAATATTATCCGATAATTATGTGCGCATAGCTCAAGCAGAGTGAGGGTTTACGGCAAGCTGTCGTCGCCCTTCAATATCTCCCGCGGTGTGAAACAAGGATGCCCGCTGTCACCTTTCCTCTTCAAATTCTCTATTGATGAAGTCATGGAAATCGCGTTCACAGGACACGACTTAGAAAGTGTGGATCCGCTCCCAGGAGAAAGACTTCTTGACTTGGAGTATGCTGATGATATTGCCCTAATTTGTGACAGCTCACAAACGTGCCAAGTGGCACTGGACAGATTAGCACTGGCTGTCCGTCACTTCGGGCTTTGCTTTGGACCATCGAAATGCAAAGCGTTCCTCCAAGATTGGTCTGGACCGCCTCGTACGCTGATCGTTGGTGGGGATCAGCTAGGAATCGTTCAGAAATTCAATTACCTGGGAAGTTGTATTAGCGCTTTTGGGATCGAAGACGAGATCAGGAACCGTATAGCGAAAACTCGAAGCGCTTTTGGTAACGTTCGCCACCTATGGCGGTGGTGCGACATCACTCTCGCCCTGAAGTGTAGAGTGTACAATGCAGCGGTACGTTCAACCCTGCTGTACAGTTGCGAAACCTGGCCCCTAAGATCGGCGGAGTTGAAGAGGCTAGTTACGTTCGACAACCGGTGCCTTCGCAGTTTGGCTCACATCTGGTGGGAACACCGCGTGAGCAACGAGCGTGTTCGACACCTTGTTTACGGCACAGGAAAAGGATTTGAACCGCTCAGCACCGTTATTTCCCGAACCAGGATCCGATGGCTCGGTCAAGTGTTACGCATGCCATCCCACCGACTCCCTCGACGTGCGTTGTTTGCGCGCGGCGCGTGGATGGAAGATGAGGAGGGGTGGCCGAGCGATGACTTGGTCTAGAGGAATGAAGGCCCTCACTTCGGAACTGGCCTCGGCTCCCTGGTTGGGGTCCGTAAGACGATGAACACGTTTGCCTGGATGCGCTTGTAGATAAGGCTAGGAGTGGACCTCAATGGCGTTCGTGCTGTGAGTTTCTTTGTCCCTCCGCATTCCATTTAGCCTCCCCATCCAACTACGATGTCATTATTTAGCACTTTTTAATTTCGCACATTGAATTATACTTTTTCTGCTGCATATAATCCGGCAGGGAGCTTACCGGAACGATGCCCATACGTTATCGGTAGCTCAGCCGGTCTGCACCTGTTGCATTTTATTCTATTTCTTCTTTCAGGTATTGCGGCATAGTAGCTGAGGTGTCTCCCACCTCTAGCTAACGTGTATAGTATGTGTGTGTGCTAGATGCTGGCGAACCTACCAAGCAGCTTCATCAGCTAGTACCTACGACAGTTAGTTAGAGATTAGAAATAACTGTGAACAACATCTCAGGACTGCTCGTCTCCAGTACGAGCAGGGTTTAGCGGACTCGGCCGCATCTAATCCCAAGTTCTTTGCTTACGTAAAGAGGCACATCGAGGTAAAACTGTCCATACCAGCATTATTGCGAGCAGACGGGACCCGCGTGCAAACCGACTAGGACAAGGCTTGTATAGTTAGAGAAATAGTATATGGGTGTTTTCGCTCCAGGTTGAATTGATTTCATGAGTTCCAGAGAATTCTTGCTCAGCTGAGTTGTACATAACGGAGACTCAGTTCTTCGAACTACTGCAAAGCATAAACCCCGCTAGAACTCCCGGCCTCGATTCAACTCCTCCGAAGCTGGTGCATGAATTGGCCGATAAGCTGAGTGGTCCGCTCACATGCATGTTTCCAATATCGCTTGATAGCTGTGTACTACCTTCGGAATGGAAGGAGGCAATCATCAACATGATTTTCAAGAACGGTGAAAGTAATCTGAAGCGGACGACCGATCTGTCGGTCTGACAAGCGTAGTAGTTAAGTTGTTTGAAAAGCTTATAAGGAATTCGGTGGAATGTTCCCTGGACAAATTTAGTCTTCGCAGTGCCGCGCAACATGGATTTCGCAAGGGATTTTCGTGGCAGACTAATTTACTTGTGGCTCGTTGAACCTGAGCAGAAGCGGTAAATGGTGGCTAAGCTAAAGAATTGCTATTCGTATTTTTCGAAAGCTTTTGACACTGTTTATCATCGTAGACTCACTAAAGTTGACATCTTACGAAATATATGGTCGCGCCCTTAAATGGGTGTCTGCTTGCTCGGAAGGGGGAGAACAGTGTGAACGCGCGGGGCATAGCCTTTCGCTTAGGTAAGCTGCCCTTAGTGGCATCCTGCAGGACTCGGTATTGAGGCCATTGTTGTTCGCGATCTACGCAAATGACTAGCCGGAAGAGCGAGGAGTGTCGTCGCTAATGTTTGCTGACGACCTTAAGCGCTAGATGGTCGTAGATGTACCTGGCGGTTCTGAGACAATTCAGAGTGCCTTGGATCACGATTATACATGTTAGCTAGGGGTGGAAAACACAGCTATTGTGCCTTGGAATGGTCCACCTTATGGTTGATGCCCAAAAATCGGACCAAGTGCTCTCTTCTCCGAATCGGAGATGCTAGTCCTCCCACACGATATGTTATCCGCAGTGGTGAAATCCCTGTTGTCAGTTAGCAAGTTGATTTAGGGGTCGTACACCCATCAGCTTTTCACTCTGGCGACAGTTGGAAGAAGGCTGTTTGTAAGGATTCCGTATGATGCGGTTTGTACACAGCTCCTTCGGAGTCTTAACAGCCGATATGTCTGTGAAGTTATTCTCGGCATTCGTGCGACCCCACCTGGAATACTGCACCCAGGCTTGTCCACCATGCCCTATCCGAGACAAAATGTACTTGAAGAAAGTTTTACGCGTGGGTACTAGGTTAGTGCGGAGTCTACGGGGATAGAGGTATCCTGAACGCTTGCTTAGTTTGGGGATGTACTCCATGCACTACCGAAGGATAAGAGGAGACTTGATTCTCACGTATTTTGACGGGTAAGATCGGTTCGGACCTATCTTGCCTATTTAGTCCTGCAAAGTTATCTAATCTCCGCGGTCACGCGTTGAAGCTGCCCAAACCGCGGTCTGATCGGCTTAGGGCAGAAAATCGTCAGTCGCGCCGAGTTACAGAATGCTGGAAATCGCTTCCAGATCATGCGTCTAGGAAACCCACGGTTAGGGGTTTTGCGCGTCAAATTGATGTTTTTGGGTGGCAACACCAAACCTTTTCTTTTTCCTAACTAATCCATCTTCGGTTTTCAGTATTTTAAGGACGCAACTATCTATGTATTATATTTGGTTAGCTCTCTTCCTATGTTTGCTTACCGATTTTACTGTTTCTTCTTACTTCACGTAACCGGCCCCGCAGAGACTGCTAGTGCAGGATACGTAGGTAGTAATTCGTTGGACCGGGCGTAACGCGGTCTTTGTTTTAGGCCAAACTTTAGTTCGAAGTCCGTCAACTCCTGGTTCAACGACCGGCTGAAGAAGGAACACTCACAAGATAATGCTACCGTTCTAGTCCAACTTGAACTCGCTGGATAAAATTGGTAGTGCCCAAGAGTAATGATGATGGACCACAAATTCTACATCAGCCGTCATCACAAACATGCGTTGAGCAAAACATTGTGTCTGTGAAGAGTGGACGAGAAAGGAGCGCAGCGAAGACCAGTTGAAAATTTCCAAGGGACATGGGGGTATGGCTGCAAGACAAACAATAACAAACCGAGTACACAACGAGGCTCAGCTGGGAGATACCAGCCAAACGAGTGCACACGCATCTTTATGTGCGCAAGTTAGCCAACTAATAAGATATGTATACTACATTATTACAGAACAGCGAGAAGGGCGCATGTATACCATTTCGGGTTACTGAATGGTAGACGGTATTAACGTACCCGAGTTTGGAAAGTACGTCCATCCGTTTGTCCGGTTCCCTTAAATGACGAAACATATGTACTCTGTTGGGTTCTTGCTTACGGACCGGAACTGATGGAAGGGTTTTTATGAGACTTGATTTATCTGCACAAGACGAAAAACTTCAGTGCAAAGGTTGATAAGTAATACTTACCGTCAAGTTGAGAAAGATTGCACTTCAAGATATTTTCGTCGGGTATCCCGGTGGATTTTGAGGGCTGCAAGGTAGATGCAGAGTCAGGATTTAGTGACGTTTCTGAGACATAAGGATTGGCTTTTGTTACCTCTTGGAGCAGTGTTTGATGGTGATAATTTTTGTTTGGGTGGACAACGCTGAGATACATTTGATGGTGTGGGGACTTCATTCTTCACGCCAGCCTTTGTCAGAGACTTTGCAGCCCTCTGCGCCTCCTGCGTTCATAAGATCATCAAACATACAATAGCAAACTTGGATAGCACGCCGCTCGGCACGCAGTTGGGACTTTGTTTTAGCTGGTAATTCACTCATACCATCGGGATCAAGCGGACGTTACTGTGTCACTGATCGGTCGACTGGGTAGATCGAAGTAAGTTCAAATTCAGGTGAGACTGAAACGGTAGGAAAGGAGCTTTGTACTCACAGAGGCGCGGGAAACGATATGGCCACGAAGGTTCCATGGTACAATGAACAATGATTTATCACGGGATAAAAGCAAGTGCTTGACACGTCCCATAGGATGGTTGGGGTGAATACGCTGAAGTCAAAATATGTGGGTCATCTACCAACTATCTGCCGAGATGAACACTGATAAATAACATCAGTGTAAAACTAAAAAAATCGAGCGTAAACGTTCAGAAATACATTGGGGTGCAGTGGTCGTTGATATAAGGTGTGAGAAGTAAAATATGGTCGCTCACTTGGGTCCACTTGGTACATAAACCCTGTAGAAAAGTATGTTTGGCGTAATCCATAATGGAGGAGTTTAGGTAACAAAGTGCTGGGAGCTGAGAGCAAGATTCAATCGTTTTTTTGAAAACGCCCAAGGTAAGGAAGGATACAACTGAGTCTGAAAGTGCGTTCCAGGGTTGGCAAACCAGAACTGAAAAGTAATTACGTCATTTTATGGTAGCTGCTTTAAGCCTGTCATAAGGTAAGTCAGTCGGCATAGGGTCAAGGATCAAGTGCAAGTGGGACTGGAACGACAGGAAGAATTCCGTAAGTGTTCCTTCTTGAGGGGGTCGTCGATAGCGGTGCTCCGACTTCTTGGTGGGTGTAAAACGAAAACTCCTGAAAAACACCCTGGTTCACCAATTTAATGCCCACGTTCCTTACATTAGCTCTCTGCTGTCAGTTAAGTGAAGCAAGAGAGGAAAAATCGAAGGTAAAGAGTAAGGGAAATCAATTAAAAGAAGAGAATAATACCAATGGCGAGGGAAAGTAAAGAAAATAGAATCGAAGTATGAAGATGGGAATTTGTCAGGAAAAAGGAAAGGTTTCGTGTTGCCACCCAAGAGCATCTAGTTGACGCTCAAACCCCTTAACAGTAGCTTCCTTGACAACATTTTTTGGAAGTAAGTCCCAGAGCTCGATCACTCGACGCGATAACCGTGTCTCCGCTATAATTCGATCCGGCCGCGGTTTTTCCAGTTTCATACAATGCCCGCGGAGACCAGATAATCTAGCAGGACTAAATAGCCAGGACAAATCAGGACCAATCTTCCCAGACAAAATACGGTAGGTTAGGATTAGATCACCTCTAATCCTTCGATAGTGCATTGAATGCGTTCCCAAACTAAGTAGGCGTTCCGGGTACGTTTGTCCTCGTAACCCCTCGACCAACCTAGTACCGACACGCAACACTCATTCTAGTGCCATTTTGTCCCGGACAAGACATGGCGGACAGGTCTGGACGCAATATTCTAGGTGGGGTCGCACGAAGGCTGAGAAGTGTTTCACAAACACATTAGCGGTTAGGGTCTCGAAAGAACGACGGATAAACCACAACATCCGGAACCCTTTACTAGCCGCCTTCTACCATCTGTCTCCAGAGTGTAGTGGGGAACAGTGGACGACACCTAGATCAACCTGATGAGTCACGTGGGGAAGTTCACTCTCATCGAGCACATAACTTGTGGAGGAATCAGACGATCCGATACGCAGCAGTGAACTGCCCAGTTTATAAGCAGCAACCACAAGACAGACCATTCCCAGAGTCTACCCAGAGCCCGTTGAAGATTCACAGGACCTCCAGGGATATCAACAATATTCCAGAGCTTTAGGTCATCAACAAATAAGACGAGACTGGATTCCGTCACAACGAGACTGGACCTTAACGTGGTGCGACGGTTTGCGTACCTCATTGACCCATTAAGCTATACTGGGTAATGCCTCCGAGCATCTTGAGAGCTACTCCTACCAGGTTGGTCAATAGTGAGAGGTCAGACAAACTCAGTCTCCTGGTCCTTCAGGTTGGGGTTTGAAATGGGATAGCGTCCATTTCTGTAAAGCGAAATCATTGTCACCTCCCCGCTGCCTTGCGGACAGGCTTTGAGCCAAAGGCTTTGGATGAGGACCCTAATCGTCCTCCTGTCTAGGTCTGGGCGCCCTGGCAGTATCTCAGCCCACATCCAACCATGACATCTTCAAACATAAACTTCATCCTGCATCGTTCGTCGCGCAGATTATCAAGGGTCGCCTTATCTGCTGCATCCAGCAGGTCGGATAAGCGAAGACATGCTACTGCTGGCGCCTCCCTTCTTTCTTTCCCACCTTTTTCTCTTACTTCCATCCCGACCCCCATTACTAACATTCCTTCTATAATTCCCAGCTTAATTGACAGCAACCGAAGTGCCAATGGAGTAGAACCATCTGCAACCACCATCTAACCGCACCTATCGGACGCCCATCGGCAAAAGTCCCTTATAAAGCCACGCTATCCCGTTTTCATGGCGACATTCAACGTTCGCACTCTAAGACAAACAGGCCAACAGGCTGCACTCGCACGCACCTTGGACACACTGGGTATTGATGTGTGTTGTGTGTCCGAAACTAGGATCAATGACTCTAACGGGGTTATTGAATTAACTGCACCCGGCTTATCCTCTCGTTATTGGTTGCACGCATCCGGAGACGTCGATGCAGCACTCACGGGTCAAGCTAGTGTAGGTATCATTCTAAGCTCCAAGGCTGAGCCATCGTTTGTTGATTGGATTCCGGTGAACAGCCGTTTATGTGCAGCCCGTTTGACAACATCAGCTAAAGTTGATTCACGAAGTAGTAAAAAAAGCAGTTAGTTTGTGATTTCCGCTTATGCTCCCACCGATTTCAGTTCTAATGCTGTCAAGGACACATTCTATGACGAACTGAACGCGCTACTACGCAGTGCTACTAGTTCAAATATTATAGTACTTGCAGGGGATATGAACGCACAAGTAGGGCGTCTGACCTCTTCTGAAGCTCAGCTGAGTGGTAATTGTGGGCTTAACTCCGGACGGACTGACAACGGTGAGCGTCTGCTGCAACTGTGTACGGAGCACCACTTGTTTCTTAGTAGCACTGCTTTTAGACACAGTGGGCGCGAAATGCCGCTTGGCGTCCTCCTGTAGCTGGCCAGCGATGGACCCAAATTGACCACATAGCCATAAGTTACAGGTGGCGTGGTTCCATCCTGGATTGCCGCTCGTACTGGAGTACGTGTGTCGACTCTGATCATGCCTTGGTACGCTGTCATTTCTCCATGAACTTTACCGGGAGGCGCACCAAGCGTCCCCTACGATTGGCAACGGAGAAATTGTCTGCCCTCGGTCAGGCAAGCCTATCAAGAAGCATTGTATACCGAACTTCCGTTGTCTTGTCCTAATGAAACTGAGCTTCAGTGGAATAGGATCTCGGACGCCATGCACGACGCAGGAGCGTCCGCTTGTGGCACTATCCATCGTCACCGCACCAGTCACTGGATATCCGAGAGGTCCGTGAACCTGTTGGAATCTAGAAGACACCTCCCGGCTGGCTCTGAACACAATGTGACCAGACGGGCTATTAGGCGTGAACTAAAGCAGAGCCTACGTGCTGACAAGGAAGCCTGGTGGACCAGTAGGGCTCAAGAAATGGAGGAGGCAGGAGCAGTAGGCAATTACCGGAAGCTCTTCCAGCTAATCCGCACCACTGGTCCCAGAAAACCAGGCGTCAGTGACACAAACAGAGACAGCGCGGGTGCGCTGATATACAATAAAAAGCGCCGTATGGCTCGTTGGGCTGAACACTTTCAAGATCAGTTCAGCTGGCCCCCTGCTCCCGTACCTCTTCCAACTCAAGTGATGCAGCACGAGCCATGGACAGTTAGTTTAGAGCCTCCGTCGGAGGCAGAGGTCCGAAACGCAATCACAGGCCTCAATCGTTTTCGTGCCGCTGGCCCGGATTCCCTCCCACCTGCACTATTTAAGGATGGAGGTGAGGTCCTCTGCAAAGCACTGACCTCCTTATTCGAATGTATCTGGAAAGAAGTGTCCCGGCTAATTGGAGCGAATCGATTATAGTGGCAATATACAAGATGGGCAGTTGCACAGACAGTTCTAACCACAGGGGTATTAGCCTAACGCCAGTTGTGACAAAATTACTGGCCTCGATTCTCGTTCGTCGCCTCACTTCGGAACGGGAATCTCGGATTAGGGAAGAGCAGGCTGGTTTTCGCCCAGGATGTGGCTGTATAGACCATTTATTCACTTTGCGGCAGGTGCTAGAGCAGCGCCACGCATACCGCAGACCGACAATAGCTGTGTTCCTCGATTTCAAGAGCGCGTTCGATTCAGTCGATCGATCGATTCCATTCGAAATATTTGCGCGGAAAGGTGGTCCCACGAAATATGTGAACATCCTTCGTGCTCTATACTCGAACACTACAGGCCGCGTCAGGGTCTACGGTGTCCTATCGGATAGCTTTCCGACCACAAGTGGCGTTCGTCAGGGTTGTCCGATTTACCCGCTTTTGTTCAATTTCATCGTGGATTCTATCATGGAGAGTTCCCTTGCGAAATCGCACGATGTAGGTGTTGAAGTGCTCTCTGGTGAAAGAGCAGTTGATGTTGATTATGCAGACGATATCGTCTTGCTTTTCGACGATGTTGGGGCGGAACAATCAATCCTGAATAGCCTGTCCAGAGTGGTTCCATTATTTGGTATGCACTTCGCACCTTCAAAGTGCAGTGTTGCTGCAGGACCACCAACCACTTGATAAGCCCTTGACGCTTGCTAACGAGGAACTCGAGGTGGTTGATCATTTCACTTATCTTGGCAGCTGCATCAGCAATGATTGGCGCATAGAAACTGACGTCAGCTCACGTATTGCAAAAGCCAGAGCTAACTTCT